ATGTTTTACAATGTGAGCACAAGATAGTAAAAATAAATAAATGTATATACCACGTGCCTATTTATTCTCTAACTAGCTGGCCCGACAGACGTCGTCCTGTCCTATTGTGGTTTTATGTCACACGGTCGTTCATTTTCAAGATGAGCTCGTTCGCATGGCTCAATCACGTCCTGGTTGAAGTTCGTTCGCTACGCTCACTCACCTTTAGGTTGGAGCTCGTTTGCTGCGCTCACTTGCCTTCAGGTTAGCTCGTTCGCTACGCTAACTCGCCTCCAGGTTGAAGTTCGTTCGCTACGCTCACTCACCTTTTGGTTGCAAATTAGCTGTTCTCATAAATTAAAAAAAATATATAGTGCTGCCCCCTGTTGGTAAACCTATTAACTTTTTAACGCTATTGAACATCACAGAATCAAATTGTTTAGTTGCACCAGCTGTTAAGATTCTTTAATTCCATTTAAGAGTACTCATAAGGTTAACATGGGAAACTCCAGAGCCACTGGGGCGGAGCCCTATTGACGGATCTGCACCAAACTTCACACAAACCATCCTTGAATAATTCTTAATAATGCCTGAAAGTTTCATTGCAATCTGTCGAGCGGTTTTGGAGTCCATAAAGGACAAATATACAAACATACAAACATACATTGGATTTTATATATATTTACATATATACATATTTACCTATATTACCTATATTATTTTATATACATATTTACCTATTTACCTATTTATTCTCTGATACATACACTATTGTGATTATAAAACACATTGCCAAATACTTTAACACGTTGATAAAAAAAAAAAAAAAAAAAAAAAAAACTATCCATGAACAGCTTTCCCAAGATACTCTATTTAAGATTTGTTTCTCTGACTGCAATAACAAATCTGTCACTAGACATGTGAGGAACACATAGAGACTGTATATAGAACGTATTTAGTAAAGGGGGGGGGGGCATTTCATGTCCCTTTGCACAATGGGCAGATCATTATAAACGGCTAATTTACTTTTTAAAATAAGCCCATTCAACATGCACTACCTTTTTTTTTGAGGTTACATAATTAGATATAAAAAATTCAATAAGTAGATAAGTATTCTACTTGCTTGGCCAACACAAAAGCTGGTCATAAGTTAAAATATGCTTTACATGACTATTGTAAAACTATAACACGGAACACGGACCACAAAAAAGGACAGTAGGTCTGATGTTTATTTGTCTTGATGATGCATCACTATTTGAGATAAGGGAAAATGTTATGTTATTGTACAGTAAGTTAATTGAATGCCTTAACTGTGTTATACTGAGCAGTACAGTATTTAAAAGAAACGTTAAGTTTTCATAAGTGAGAGAAGGGAAAGCTGTTCCGCAGACAAGTTATATTTGAGGCTAGCCTGTAGTTTGAGACTACTGAATGTATTTAAATAGAAGTCCCCTATACTCTGTTGCACTTAGACTTCCACTTGTCCAGCAATTCTTCGTCTAAAATGTTGAGGCTCCAGGGGAGGAGGAGCCTCTTCCAACGTGGGCAAGGGTAAAAAGTTTGTTCCGGGTCACCGGTGGTGCTCTAGCCGTAGACTCAAATTTTCCGATCATGAGCAGATACGACTGGAAAAATTTTTGACAGGTCAGAAACTGGGTGAGGTGATAATCCACCTCTCCGTGTTGAAGATCTACCCAAGGTTAGACTTGCTTAAACAGTCGCCTGGTTCCGAGTCCCCGTGTCTCCTGTACCCAGCTCTCCTTGTAGAGCTGGTAGGCTCGGTTGCACTCTACTGTTCTTGCCTGGGTCTCCCACATCACTGATAAATTCCTCTCCAACATCAAAAGTGGGATTAATACAGCAACCACCAGTACGGCAGGGTAGTACACTTTTTGGTAGGCGGATGCTGTCTGACTCTGCTCTCGGGTGAGCCACATCCTGTATACTTCCTAATTGGGTACGTCTGCCCACACTTCCACGGGGGACGGACTGGACTGAAGACGTCAATAGCCTTCTGTTACTAGACCGAGAATCTCCAACATTAAGCCATTAACGAACTAAGGAAAAACCACCTTAGCAACCTTGTCTGCCGTAGGTAGATCTAGTCCCGCCAGCTAAACCAACTACGACCCTATGGTTAATAGTGGCATAAACGTTTCGGACTTCGAAGTCACCTTCCCTCAGAGGATAGATGGCGTCAATCCACGAGCTCGGTTTTGCTAAGAGCAAGCAAGATATATAGTTAATCTAGGCTCATAATGTTTAGTTAAAGTCCCAGACCATTGAATGCTTTTTCTTGTTTGCCGAGGTTGTATGTTCCCAGTAAAACCAATTATGGTTAGCATGTTCATGAACCATGACTGATACAGCACAATGTAAAACTTACTGCATATATATGGTAAAAATCCATAATTTTTATGCATGTAATTTATTGCAAAAATGGCTATTTTGCCGCGAATAAAACAAATAAATTATAAAGAACCTTAAATAAAAAAAAAAAAAAATAAAGATAGGATTTATTGGCTTTGAGCTCAGAGCTGCCATCCATGCGTTGATAGTAGGAATGACTTGGTTCAGTTTCGGCTGGGACAACTCAACGCTACGTGCAACCATCAAAGCCGCAAAGTTATCCAACAAAACCTGTTTCCTCGGGCATCTCAGAACCTTAAGAGGCTGTCCAGGGCCAAGTATAGATTCTTAAGTAAAATACTCCTTGAATAACCAAAATGAAATGTAATGAGGATAAATTATACAAAATGTATTTTAGGGTGATTATCTATGTACATTTCATCCAAGTACGGGGTATTTTATCGTTTAAATTACAAACTATTGATACAATATATTTTTTTTCTGCACCATACCGCTTCTTAGGTTATGACGTTGTAATTTTTCTATATGTTACCAACCTAATTAAGAGTTTATTTTATTTTAAAATATAGAAAAATTGGTAATATTCATCTACTCATAAATTTAGAAAAAATATTTAACTAGTCAATAAAAAACAATTCCTTGACCAATTTAATTGTCCTATGTTATTTTTAGCAATTTCTCTAAAGATAAATAACAATAAATGCAAAAATCTGCTCTTGACCTATAATTGGATCTTGAAACCCTAAATTATCTATATTTACAAAATAGGTAGTTTGTTTGTTTGAACGTTATGAGC